TATATTTATGAAATAGATCTTTTACTAGTAGTGTTCTCATGAAGTTCCTATCATCTGAATATTCTAAGTGACTTAATATTTCAACATATAGTCATTCTTGAAATGAATAGATGACTAGAACTCTTAAACTTGATGACTAGATAAATCTTATAGCTACAAAGTTAATTTAATTACTTGAATTTTTTCTAAAAATCTCATTATGGTATTTATATAAATCAAACTTATAGTATTTCTGAATTAAAACTTTACTACAATAGATCATAACTTTTATATAATACTAAAATTACTTGAGGACAAGTAATAGTTAAGTTTGAGGGATTGTGACCAAAGGAAAATATGTTCAGATTTTCATACCTATTTTACACTGTTTTTTATGATATTACACTTTAAAGAAAGGTTTTTTTTATGTTTTGTTGCAGGAATGATGAATTAGGGTCATTGGAACAAAAAGATGCAAAAAGAAGCGAATTTGGAGCAAAAAGGACCAAAATGTGAAGATTTGAACTAGGGCGTCGACGGCGAGCCCAACGGCGCCGACGGCAAACTTTTCCTGAGACTCCAGAATTAATTCACTTAGAAGGCCCGCCGACGGCACCCTCGAGGTCGCCGACGGTGAGCTCAGCAGTTATGTCCAACAAAGCATTGGATGAGGACGAATTTTGGAGGGGTGCTTAGGCAACTCTTGGAAAAGCTCATCCACAACTTTAAAGAGAAGACTTTGGCCGAAAATAAAGAAGGGGAGAGGCTCAAAATTGAAGTGTGGGAAAAGTGTAGAGAGTCTAAATTGTGATGAATTCTTTGAGAGATTGTAAGAGTGGAGGGAAAGTGAGAGATTCCTTCCTCCTTACCGCTTCGAAGAGGAATTCTGTGCGCTGTAAAGAAAGGAAGAGATTCAGAGGAACTTTGAGGAGTTTTCTTGGGGAGAAATTAGAGATAAGTTTATTTATTGTTGTAGTTTGTATTACTTTGATTTTATATATTATAATCTTTCAAATATTGTACGGACTCTGGTGATAAGAGTGGGCTTCTCTCTTTCCTCACCATGACCATGGGTTAATGGTAAAGTAGCGACAATCCTATGAATGCTCTCATATCCGGTGGTACCCATCAATGGATGAAACCAACTCCCTCAAAGGAGAGAAGAGGTCTTAGGCAATTTGAGTTCTTCTTGGTGAGGAATCTCGTCAACAGATCTTGTTTCTGTAATCTGGGCCTTGGTGGCCCTATGAATTCTTTGGCTACAGCTTCTTCTTTGTGACCTGGTTACCAACACAGTCTTTAAACTGTAGCCAATCTCAAATACTGACAACGGGGCAGTAAATTTGTCAACCAAATTTTCTATAATCATAACTTCCTTTACCATTCCCTTGACAAACGGTACGGTAGACATGATAACAGTGAATCCTGTGGTAGTCGTTGTAACCACTCTCGAGCGAACGAGCACAGGAACGACAAACTTAATAGATGTTGGGGAGACAGCGATCTTTGTCTTCATGCAAGAAGGGAAATCTTGGGGGTAGTTCAAGTTGAACTCAATAAACGATTCTTGTACTTCTAGAGCGGTAACCTTCATAACGACAAATGGGGCTTTTCCAAGCACAACCTCAAGTTCCTCAAATCAGGCTCCAAACTTAATCATGGGGGTGGCGTTACAGGCATCACGGCTGATCGTCAAGTTGCAGGAGAAGGTGAAAGTTGGGAACACGGTCATAGCAGCTTCAAAAGTAAAGTTCTAAGGGTTAGTATTTGGCCAATACCTCACAACTTTAGTGCGAACACTAAAAATTAACAAGGTTTTGTTCTATGGACTAGGCAGACCTTTATTATTTTTATTTGATTTTATTTTTATGAGGGTTTTAAGAACTAATTTAAGCTTATCATTTGTTAAGCAAATTAAATTTTGGGAGATTTAATTAAATTAAACAAGAGATTTAAAATATGCAAAGACGGCTTAATTTGCAAAATAGCAAACCAAACACGAAAGGTATGAGGAAAAGGAAGAATAGTAGGACCCACGGCGGGACTAACTTCACAACGCGTAATACACAGGTGAAACTAGTTCACCAACACACCTATTAGGGGTCCAACCCCACACAAAAGAAAAAAGGCCCTAAAGGACTTCTTAACCTCTCTGTTTAAAGGTGATTAAACAGATGTTCCTGAAGTCAAAAAGAGTTGATCATACTTACCCAAAAAAGAAATGGATGAAATAAGTCAACACAATAAGGGTAATCTGGTCAATGAGGGACGTGGACACATTATTGATGTATGAAGACAAGACTTCTTGATCACAATGAAGAGAGAAATTAATCCGCAGCGAAGTCGCCAGAATTTGTCGGCTGCCAAATTAAAAATTGTCGGTTGCCAAAATGGATTTCCCGACTCTTAGTTTAAAAGTTGTTTAATTTAATTTATATATATAAATTTAGAAAAATTAATATTTTAATTTTTGAAAATATAAGATCGAACCAATTTCATATCTGCAATAGTTTAAAAGATCAAACACAACACCGCAAGCAATATATATACCTCGAAGGATATATACATTACTTGTTGGTAATGCTGGATTAAATAAATTAAAGAATTTATGACATCCATTTTAGTCTATGAAAAATCATTTTTATGTTGACCGACAAGTTCTCCTATCTAATATGAATAATTAGACATGGTTTATATTAAATTGGGTTCTTAAGTTTCCTATAAGGGCAAGCCCCTGTAGTTAATTACATCTTAGATAATTGAAGTCACCTAAGAAAACTCTCGATTTAGATCAGGAAATATTGTCTTTGAGGAATTCAAAAGGATAGGGCTTTTCAAAGATTGAATAAAGAGGTTTCAAATGAGAGTGGCTCAAATTTGGAACATTAAGTTTAGGAATCCAAAGGGAGATAAACTAGGGATTGTCACAGATCCTGAGGAGAACCTCAATGACTTCCAAAGCTATCCTATGGTTTGGCTTCAATTTTGGAGAGATAGTATTGAATGTTTCATCCTACCAATTATTATTATTTAGGGCTTACATTTGCATGACATAATCATACAAACAACTTAGAAGATGGGAGGGTTTATGTTGTAACAAACGACAACCTTGGAATCCTAAAACAAGTTATGTCTTAAATTACACAACATTATTGTGCAAAGTGAGGATTTATGTTGTATAAGCAAACAACCTCGAAGTCCTATGGCTTGATATTTAATTCTAGGGAAAAGTTGTGTTGTTGTAAATCCTTGTGTTGTTGTAGATTGCTGTTGTAGGTTGCTGCCCACAGAGTTAGCTCCAAGCTCCTCAATGAAGTAGCAGTCCTACAGTTTAAGGTTCAAAGGTTTTACGAGTTGTTTTAAATTTATTCAAACATTATGGGGAGAATAAAGTTGATTAGAGTGACACCTGTTAGGATCCCACGATTCCCTCATTCTAGTTCCACTATTTCTTTTAAATTTACTTAGCTTAAACAAGTTGTTAAACTGATTTAAACTAGTAAGATCTCTTTAACAACCGTGGGTTACCTCGTCCGAGGGATTCCCATAAATTCTTTCAGTGGGAGTAACGGTTACCTTTAAATTTAAAAGAGCATTTTATATTTAATTGTATTTCAAAGGATTAATGGTTACCTTTAAAAGGGTTTAATTTAATTTTGAAAATCTTCGATTAATTTTAAAAAAATGGTTTTTATTTGTAGTGAAGTACAATCCACAACCAAACATGTATACTATTTTAAAGCAATAGTAAATTGTAGCAAATAAAATGACAAAAAGTAAATAAAACTGTAAAAGCATGGTTGTCATCTTCCGTTACTCCCACTGAAAGATTAGCTTTTATAATATATATATACATATATATATATATATATATATATATAAATATGTATATATACACATAAATCTTATTTAAAACAAATGTAATTAAATAAAGATGCCAATGAATGAACCTGAGGTTTTAATGACTTCGCATAAGCTAAATAGCGTCTCAATTCCGCGTTGGTGAAAGAAGGGGATAATGCTTCTTCGTGTTTCTGATGCACTCTCACAATATGATGGGCGATACGGTAGTCGGTGTTCTCGTCCGGTTCATCGATCATAACATATACTAAATCAAATCTCGAAAGAATAGCTGGAGGTAAAGCCACGTTATACTGTTCAAAAGAACAAGACATAAAAATAAGCGTTATTTTCTTTCTTTTAACAGTATCACATTCCATATAAAAGATTTACATACATACCACTCAATTCCTACCTATTTCACCTCTTAAAAATCAAAATAGTGGTATTTTTTATGTGATGTGAAAGGTTTGGGTGTTGTAAATGCAAAGAGTGAAGTTCAGGGGTCGGATATGTAAATACATAAGAATTGGGTGATATGTATGTAAATGCCCCTTAATATTCAAATTGCATATGCTGACCTTCAAAGGCTTTGACTTGTCGTAACGTCCACCAGTAGGATTTGCTGCAGCAAGAATGGATGTTCTGGCATTCAATGTTGCTTGAATGCCTGCTTTTGTAATGCTTATTGTTTGTTGTTCCATTGCTTCATGTATGGCAACCTAAGTCCAAAAAGTGTGAATTATATGACAGTAAGAAATTTGCTAAATTGGATGGAAAATAATCACCTGGTCCCTGATGTCCATTTTATCAAATTCATCAATGCAACATATTCCATTATCGGCAAGCATTAGTGCACCGGCCTGCCAAAAGTCATATTACAAATGAATCAAGTGAGCTTAAACTTAGACATAACTAATCGAAGAATTTTGAAAAATTTAAATTCATTAAGCACTGCGCCGTGAAATTGGAATGAAATTTAACAAGTCCTTTAAACATTCACAGAAAGTGATGCTACATGGTCATTTAAAAAACACAAACAAGAGAGAAGTTCCATGTCGATAAGATAAGTTAACGGCACAAGGAAACATTAAAGGCTAGACAACTCGCCTAGTTCTCCCAACAAAAATATCCAAAGAAAAATGCCAGCAGCACCATGGGTAAAGTGATAAAATAGTTTTGGCAATATGTTATGATTGGGGGTCTATTTGGGACGGCCTCAGTAATTCATAAATATGATTGTGAAAATATGATGGTATAGTTATATTTTTAGAAAGTTGAGTGTGAATTATAAATATTTTTATTTTCCAAAAAGGTTTAAGTAGCAGCTTTCTATTGTCACCACACTTAATCAGATCTTGTTGCAAAAATTGGCTTCTCACCACCAGATTTTTAAGAATTGGCCAAAAAAACAATTCCTCAAACAGAATTGTGATCCGGTCTGAAACTCAATGCAAGCAGAAAATTGTCCCAAACAAACCTGAATCTTGGATTTTTTGCATCATTACCTCAATACAGAACTCGCCAGTTTCTGGCTCCTTGGCAACAGTTGCTGTTAATCCTGCAGCAGATGAAGATTTACCGGATGTATAAACAGATCGAGGAACCAGGCCAGCAGTGTACCTGCGGACAAGTTGCCATATATATATTTGCAGGAACAAAAAAAAAAGAAAAGTTGTTGAAGGTGTAGTTTCCAAACTCCAAGTCATGACTTGATGAGTCCCTAAAGGTCTTAGTAGATGATTTACTTGAGCAAAGAATGATAAGTTCAATTGTCCTTCAAAATATTCAAAAGGTCATAAAAGTGTTTGGGGAGCAATCCCTAACAACCTTTAAATCTCATTGAAATGTTTTGGGTCCATTTGATTGATCTTCCTAAATTTTAAATTTAGTTTCAAATGAATTAATGCACCCTATGCTCAGTGAACCTGATGTTTTAATTATCTCATGAGAATGGTACTCAATTAATCAGTTGATATTTTATTTAAGAGTTTTGTGAATGAGTGCCCTTAGAACAAGCTTAAGCTATGAAGGACCTCATGCTCACATGTGAATCTAGACTCGTACTATTTTCAAAAATGTTTATAACTAATTATGTTTTCTTTCCTAATCCTTATTAGAAAAATTCAAATTGAGCCTAGTACACCACTAAGCCCTTAGGGTCCAATGTTTATAGTGAACTCATAATGATTAAACATTAAATTAGGTGAAGTTTAATTCTTTATCAAGATAATATCTTATCACCAATAAGGGGGCTTTAGATTAGTGAATTATCATATTCCTAACATAAGCCCACCACTTTATAATCATCTAATTTAATTAAACTCTAAATTATAATAATTAAGGAAAATTATAATTATAACTTTATTGCAAAAGAGTGAGAAATCAGTTTCTTCCATTTTAGTCCCTTATATTTTAATCATCCCAAAGAACTTGATATAATCAATATTACCATTTTAACCTTTTTAAACAATCCTAAAACCTTATTAAGGCATTAAGAATCCAAAATTACCATCTTGCCCCTAGGGCTCTTCATTTCATAACTCATCAAATATAAATCAAATGACTTTGACATTTTTCGAGTATCCCTATCACGGGTCAATTAAAATATCAGAGGAAAAAAATGTGATTTTTCAAAATTTCATTTAATTTAAATAATTAATGTTAACTCAAAAATATAATTTTCAATATTAATTTACTTAACTAATCAAAGTAAAGTTTTTGTTAATGAGAAAATTATTGGAGGTTCACCGAGGTCAGAGGACTACTTAAACAAAATTTAATGATTTTATCAAATTATATTTTTATTATTATAATATTATTTATTAATTTTAGTGATTTAAGTAAATGTAAGATATGTTTTAATTTCAAAAAATAACTTTTTATATTTTTATTAATGCTCTCTAAATCCACAAAATTTAGAGAAATAAACTTTTCATTTGTTTTTATTTTTAATTTATTTATTATAATTATTTTAATGAAAAATTAGAGAAATTACATTTTGAGTCTTTAAAAATTATAACTAACTTAGAAAAATTAAAAAAAAATATTCTAATGTGTCTCAGGTGATCAAGAAATAATTAGGAACAATTTAAACCATTTTTGTATTTTTTTTGAAATTTTAATTATTTTTAATTCAAAAATAAGTTCAAAAATAAAGTATTTACTTTAATTTAAATTTTATTTTTCCTAAATGGTTCTAATCACAAAGAACTCAAAAAACCACTTTTCATAATTTTTCTAACTATAATTAATTTAATATAATTGATTTAATACAAAAATGTCTTTTACTTAGAAACTCAACTTTAGTAATAATTATACTCCAAATTGATTCAAAATTTTTACTGTGAGTTAATCTGATTTGGAATTAATTTTGCTAAATTTTGAATAATATTTTATTTAATTATTTTTTATAAGTTTTAGACATTTAATTAACTATAAAAATAAATAAAATTAATTAAATATATTATATATTTTTCCTAGGATCCTCTGACTAGGGGAAACCTAACAAAATTAATCCCATAAATTTCTAATTTATATTTTAGCTTATAAAATTATTTTAAGCAAAAATAGGCAACTATGCTTGAAAATTAGGGTTTCAAAGATAGATATGTTCCTAACCTTGGACAAATCAGAGAACATCCCTATTAACATGAGGAATCAACCCCTAAAATTTGAAGTTATGGTGATTTTTATTTATCTAATTAAAATTAAAACATTATATAGAGTATTTAATCAATTAAAAATAAAACATAAGTTAAATAGTTTTCATTTTTGTTCCACATTAATTTCCTCTATTCACTAAGCAAGAGGGTATTTTTATTTTATTTTTATAATTTTTCTACATGAAGATATGAATTTTCTAAGTTCTGAAATTAATTTAAATCAAAAATCCTGATTTTCCTACTAAATCCAGTCAGCCGCCACCTCAAACCTACCATGCTTCGAGCTTTCCACGCGCCATCGTATTACTGGACATTGTCATCCACCTCACCTTTCACGCGGTGCGCTGTTCTCACTTCATCTCCTCATCTGATGTGATCCTAGCAGTGCAACCGATACACGCGTGATCTAATGGCTCTCCGTCATCGTCCCTGATCGTCCTAACCCATGAACTGTCCACACTAAAACCTTTAGATCTCTCTTGATGCTCAATCAAATCACATGGGGTTTATTTTTACACCTTCATCTACTCAAATGGAACACATCCAAATGGTTACAAGCTTATGAAATCAAACTTCTCTTCACAAAAGCCCAAACCGAGCCAAAAATTAGGGTTTATGTTCTATACCTGAGTCTAAGAGGGGAGACCTCAATCAGATGCTTTTGGAAGCTTCAATGGAGTCTAGAAAACTTCCTGGAAGTGTTGGTTTCCTCTATTGAATAGCCTAGGTATCAGTTTAGGGTAGAAATTTTGAAGTTATGAGGTTCAATTTCATAAAATTTAGACTTAGGTGCAAATTTGGGGATTTTGACCTAGGTTGGATTTGGGTGAGGTTTAAGGCTAGGCTAGAGCCAATTGAAAGTACAATCTATTCTAAAGGAATGTTATAAGGAATTCGGAATTCAAAATTGGGGAAATTGGATAAGTTATGGGGTTCAATTTGGGGAAATTGGATATGTGGTCAAATTGGGCATTTTGGTCAGGATTTGAATTTAGGTTTGAAATTGGGTTCAATTGAGCTTCAATTTGGTTTCAATAAAGCTTAGACATGATGAATTTGAATTTAAAATTGAAATTGGGTGAGCTTGAAGTCAATTTGGTGGAAATTGGGGGTGAATTGGGGAATTTGGGCCTTTAAGGGCAATTTGGGGATTTTGGTCAAAATGGGCCAATTTGGTAAAATTGGACTCATTGGAGTGGTTCAAATTGATTTTAAGGATATTTTGAGTGATTTTATAAATTTTTTGAATTTTTGGGGTATGAAGGGCATTTTGGTAATTTTGGCAATTTTGGAGGTTCTGAAAATTTTGAGGCATTTTGGATAATTTGAGTGATTTAGAATGGTTTGAAATGATTTTTGAAGAGATTTTGAGAATTTAAGTAAATTTGAGGGCTTTAGGGTTTCAATGGTAATTTGGTAATTATGAGAAAGTTTGGGGGCAAAAGGCTAAAATTGGGGTTTAATACGATGTCAATCATGAAATTACCCTTCGTGAGCCATGAGATCAAGGAAAACCCCACTTCCTACATGTGTTGTTCTTAGCCAAACCCTAACCTAGGGCTAATGGTTTAGGGGACCATCCACATGAGTTTCCAAAAAAATTAAGGGATCAACTAAGGATATTTGGCTAAGGGTTGAGGTTGTGAGTGTAAGTGAGGGGTATCAAGTGCATGTGTGTGTGAGACTGATCAAGACCAAATCACCCAGGGTCAATCCTAAGGCTAAATAGTTATGTGCTCCACCTACTAAGTGTAAAGGGTTAGAACCAACATGTGGAACTTCATGATGAGAAAAGAAGAGTTTTAGAATTTTTAAAGGTGAGGGTTTCATCACTAGTCCTCTAGGATAATCAATAAAAAAGTCCTATGGCTAGGTCCTAGGCTTCTAAGGAAGAGACTTGACCTCAACCAAAAGTGCGGCGTTGACCTCACTTTTGGTTAAGGTCTAGTTTTTCCGCTTTAGTAACCTAAGGTCTATCCATAGGACTTTCCTATTGATTATTCTTAAAAAACTAGAAAAGGAACCCTCACCATTATAAATTCTACCCTCTTCTCTAGAAGTTCCGCATATCGGTCCTAACCTCTAGCACTTAGTAGGTGAGGTCATTATGGGGGAACCTCAAGATGAGTCACCGTTAGGACTGCTGGACTTTAGGGTTGACACTGGGTGTTGGTCTAGGGCTTAAGGTACATACTTGCTTACTCACAATCCTAAACCTCACAATCCTAAACTTAAACTTCTGGGCTTTGGTCCCTTGATACTTTTGGGAGACTTATGTAGGTGGTCCCCTAAACCCACTAGCCCTAGGCTAGCATTTAGCTAAGACCACTACATAGAGGACCCAAAATGGGGTTTCCATTGGTCCATGGCTTATTGATGGTGGTTGGCAGTCCAACTCTACCAAGATACCCAACCTAGCCTTTTGCCCCTAAACTTCCCCAAATTAACTAAGTACCCTTGGGACCCCATATTTGGACAAAATTCCCAAATTTACCAAAAATACCCAAATTGGTTATAAAATCATTTCAAACACCTTGAAAACACCCAAACTACCCAAAATCAACAAAATTTGCCAAATTACCAAAATACCCCTCCTTAGCCCAAAATTCTAAAAATTCCAAAAAAAATCTAAAAAATTCTCAAAACCTCCCAAATATTCCCAATTTCATTTTCCTCAACTACCACATGACCCAATTTGGCCAATTTGACCATCTTTATTTGACCATCTTTCATGACCCAATTTGGCCAATTTGACCATCTTTCATCAAAACCCCCAAATTGTCTTTTAAAGACCCATTTTTCCCCAAATCAACCTCAAATGTCTATTAAATTGGTCTCAATTTCCCCCAATTTCAATTCTAAACTCAAATTCACCATTGATATGACCAATCTAAACCAAATCCAATCCCAAATTGTCCATCATTTTAGCCCAATTTTGATTTAGATCAAAGCCCCAATTTTGGCCACATGACCTAATCTCATCAAATTGAATGCCTTAACCCCAAAATTGGCACCTAATTTATGTTGAAAACTCTTCATGAGAT